TAATATGTTTTTAGGTAGTACCCCTTGATGTGCACACCCACTTACATTTTTCATGCAAATTTAAGAGAGTCATCTCCTTCCCCCATCCAAGAAAAAAAAAAGTTTATCTGTTGTTTAAAGAAATATTTGACTAACTTTAGAATGTTTATTCACTGAGTTTCACCCATCTTTTAACCTAGTGATTCTCAATATTATGGGAGTATTTGTGCATTAGAATCTCCTGTGAGATTTAAAAAAATTTCTGTGCTTCTTGGCACCAGCTCTTCTTCTTTAGGCCGAGGCCATCTTTTATTTTAATTGGCACCTTCCCCATCACTGTTGTAATAGTGTTTTAAATATATGTAATTTGGTTTCCAGAGGGAATTTACTCACTAGGAAGGGAGTGACCTGTTTGTCTTCAGACTTAGACTAGATATAGTCAAGTGTTAAATAATAAAATAGCATTTAATTAACTTATCAGTTTCTTGGGACACTGAACATCCCTGGTGAAATGATAAATCATTTCATGTCCTGATGATATACTCCTACCAAATTGTCATTGGAATGGAGGTTGAAGACACTGCAGCAGGAATCCTACCATAAAAGGCCTGGCATATAATCCAACATATCATGCCCTTTGCAGATATTGTCCCCTCATTCTTGAGGCTATTGGCTCTGGGTTGGAATTCAGATAAAGCTAGAAAGGAGGTAATCTTTCTCATTATTTGGGAATGATAAATTGAAACTTGAGACCAGAATAGGACATAATCTAATAACACTATACCCTCTGCTTTTTCCCAATAGTAAAATTATGTCAAGGCTTTATTAATCCTCAACCCTAAGCACAGAAGCCTGTTAGGACACCATATTAAACAAGTCGGTGAATTGCAGAATTTAAAGGTAATTTAGTAAAGAATTTATGCTGTAGAAGCAGTGCATTAGAAAGAATACAAAACGGGAATCAGACGAACTGACTCCTAATTTCAGTTTGTATTTTGCTACTTTTATATTTTTAAGGAAACCACTCAACTTCTCTGATGCTTGGTTTTCAATAGAATGAGGATATTAGTTATCTACATTACATTTAATAGGACTATTGATTAAATCTGATTTCCAAGTGTAATTGAATGAAAACTCAAATTGCTTGCTGCAGTACAGCCAATAAGTTGAGTGACGAGTTGTGGNTAAAATATTTCTGTGATAAACTTCTGCAGTTCTCTGTACAGGAACTTGTTCCTGGTTCAGTGTTCTGGTTGCACATGGCGCCTACTCATATTATGCTAGGTTCTAAATATTTGTTTTTCAGGTGTTTTTTTTTTTTTTGGATGAACTCCAGTAGGTCAGAAATCATTCACTTTTAATGTTTTTTTTTCACAGTAGTTGTGTTTGAATAGCTGAATGAATTTCTCTGGTTTCTCTCATTGAGGTTTTCTAATATCCAGGCTGATAATATTCATAATGTAATTTTGTTTTGGATTATACTTCTTTTTGCATTTAAAAATATATTTCGTTTTTCAGTTTAAAACTTCTTTAAGACATTGTAAATCTTTACCTCAACCTTTGATGGTTACTCATTACATGATCCACATTGTAATTCCTTGGTATATATTTTACCCATTGTACCTTCAATAAATTAAAGTGTCTTCTGTTTCAGGAATTGTATTTTTATAGAGGTACCAGTATAATACCAGGGTTTTAAATTTTAAAATATATGCTATTCAGTAGCTTCCATATAAGAGCTAATTTAAGTGGGAAAAGTTGGTTGGATTAAACAAAAAAGCCTTTCTCTTTTCAGATTGCTGCAATTCTCCGGAAGCGAAAATTAGACTATTATTTATACAAACTACTCCCTGAGATCCTACAGTCAGCTTCATTTCTGACTGCCAATGGGGCCTTGTACATGGCTTTCTTTTGCATTTTAAGGTTGGTACTCATAATCACCACTGGAGGTTAATGCAAATACCTTTGCTGAAACGGAAACAAACAGATATTTATATAAATGTTGTGCAGGTCACTGCTTGTATATTCTTTTTTTCTCTCTGTGAAATGACGTTTATCTCAAAGAAAGCTTGTAAAACGAGGAGTTGTGGGTCTCATGGCCTAAAGATATACTATAAACTTCAAGTTATTGCTGTAATTATATAGTAAAAGTGCTTTACGTATTATACAGTTTTTGAGGGCTACTATATTTACCAAGTAGTTGGTGAGGATTTCTTAACTTTTCAGTTCTATGGATCAGGAATTCAAAGCAGTTGTCAATGATTTTGGTTAAGTCCATATACAGTGAAGGACTATAAAATGCTCATGTTTATATATAAAACACTAAATTAACTGATGACATATTCTACTGATAAACTTCTGGTCTTTATTCAGTCTTATATACATTACCTGTGTGACATGCATCATACAATGTAGATGCAGTTAGAGTTCAGTTTTTAGTACTGTGATATATCTAACGTATTTAGTAGATATTTTACTTTTTACCTTTTTTTCCCCACTGATTGTAGACAACCCAAACTAGTGGTTTTGTAATACTAACTTCACATTATCCTCATATTAATGTTATCTAATTAGTGTTGCCCAAAGTTCTGCAGGTATTTTTAACTGCAATTAAAAATATAATTATTAAATTTTTTTTACAGATTTTTCCCCTCAAAACATTAATAAACTTTTGGATTTGGCAGAAAATAATTGATAAGGTTTATACTGTTAAATAAATCATGCCCTTACATTGACTTGAAAATCTGTGTAAGTAACTGTATCATGTGATCTTTGGAAAGTTTCTAACACTTTCTAAAACCCCAAGAATAAGGTTATAAGATAATTAGTCTTTAAAAAATTGCAATAATAATAAATTCCTATTACAGCATATTTCTTTATATTC